CAAACCCAGTCGGAACCTTTTGGACAGCGTCTGAGATGCTAGCATGGCTAGGCGAGGAGCAAGCGGCAAAGAGATTGATGGAAAGCGTGGAAGCTATCACGGAGCGAGGCATTGCGACGCGCGATCTGGGAGGCAAGGCGTCGACAAAGGAGGTTACTGACGCGGTCTGCGCTGAGCTAGAAAGCATCTACGCTAAGAGTCAGTAGAAGCCAGGGTCGTGATGGGGTGGGCCTGATGATGCGGCAACGTTAGCCGCTGGCTCCAACCTGGTGGAGCGGACGTTGTCCGGTGGGAACTGACTCGTAGCCGATGGGATTGTCCCTTAGGCCTACAACGCCATGTGCCAGCTATCGCGATAGCTTCAAACGCCATATTGTAAAGTTCAGAGATCAGCAACACCCGTCCACATCCGCGCATGTCGATCGTGGCTACGTTACCTCTGATGAAGCCACCACTGCCACGAAGCCATTGTTGGGACCTTATGTGAACTCTAAAGCAGAGCCTCTGCCGATCTCTTGTTTCCCCTATGCGGTCGCTCACCCAAAAGAGGCGACGATTGACAGCATCTCCATCGGTCGCATTAACCCGAGGCATGCTGGCATCACTAGCCGTCTGCAACATGAAGCAGTGGATACCTGAGCGACCAACCCGGAGCTAGCCCCCGCATCCTACCCATCCTTCCCCGCACACCACGAATCATCGAATCCATGTGTGCAGTCGCCCAAGCTCAACTGCCGTGGGAATAAGGCATCCCCCACCACCACCACATTATAGTGTCCGTCGCATTTTTGACAATTTAGGATTGCTTCCACGCTTCTTCCATCTATCTGCTGTGCGATCTAGATTGCTTCTTTGCATATCGTTTATCCTTCCACGTGTGCTCCCTTGCGCTACCATTCCAATCACACCGCGGACATAGAGTTACCATGCCTTTGGGTATACTCCAAGACTACAAGCTCGAACATGTCCCTGGGACAGCTCCATTAAGCGAGCTTGGTCGCATTGATCTCGAGATCTCGAACGATGTTGATCGCGGGCTGCTGAAGCATGATCCTACTGGGCAGATTGTGCTGGTGCCGCAGCCTTCTGATTCGCCAAACGACCCCTACAATTGGCCAAGATGGAAGAAGGAGATGTTCACTGTCGTTATCGCATACGGATGCGGCGCTGTAGGAGGTAGGTTTGCGACTTCCAAACACCAGATACTGAGCTAATCGCAAATTTTGTAGCTGTCGGTCCGCTTCTCACACCAGCTTTCGTGCCCCTGGCAGAACAATTCAACGTCCCATTACAGAGGTTCACTCTGGGTTGCAATGGATCCTGCATTGTCGCCATCGCAGTGGGTAGTCTCATCTGCAACACCTTAGCCGTCAAAATCGGGAGACGGCCAATCTACCTCGCAACCACGGTTGGCCTGGCGGTCTCCTGTTTCTGGGCTGCGGAAGCTACCAGCTTTCCCTCTCTGGCGGCAGCCCGAGCGGTCCAAGGTCTTTGCATGGCACCGTTTGAAGCGCTCATTCCAGCATCCGTCGGAGACATCTGGCACGTCCACGAGCGCGGTTTCCGAATGGCCATCTTCAACCTTGGTGTCCTTGGTGGCATCAACCTAGCGAGTCCAATCGCTGGATCTGTCATCCAATACGGCTCTCACCGCATCGCATTGCACGCCATGGGCGGTGCGTTTGTCATCATGCTCATCCTCATCTTCTTCTTCATGCCCGAGTCCGCCTACCACCGCCACGACGTCATCAACATCGACACGAGCTCCAAGAATGTAGAAAGCGACGCTGTTGAGAAGGAGAAATCGGCCGAGCGCGTCGAAGACTATGCGGTCCAGTCGTCCGTCTCTTCCGAGGCCCCATACCCTTACGTCAAGACTCTCATGCCATGGTCTGGTTACTGGGATCATGTATCCTTCTGGCGCACATTCCTTCGCCCCTTTGTGGTGATCATGAGCCCGGTAGTCATGTGGGCGACCTTGCTCTTCACCATCTGCGTGTCCTGGCTTGTCTTGATCTCCATCACGTTGTCGCAAATCTTCTCTGCTCCGCCATACAGCTTCTCCGTAAGCGCGGTTGGTGCAACGAACCTGTCCTCGTTTGTAGCGTCGCTACTGGCCACGCTGGTAGCAGGTCCGATTATTGATGGTGTAGCCAAGTGGATGTCGACGCGCAACAAGGGTACTTTTGGTGAGTACAGACGACCCAAGCTGTGATTACAAGCAACTGACAATGTCTTAGAACCTGAGTTCCGTCTCCCTGTCATGATAACCTACCTAATCTTTACCGCGACCGGTTTCTTCGCTTGGGGCCAGTCACTCCACAACCGCGATCCGTGGCCCATCCCAGTCATCGTCTGCATGGGTCTGATCAACCTGGGTGTTCAGCTGGGAACTACCGCCGTCGTCACCTACGTCTCCGACTGCCATCGCGAGCAGGCCGCCGAAGCCTTTGCCATCATGAACTTCGTCAAGAACCTTTTCGCATTCGGCCTGACGTTCTACGCCAATGACTGGATCGCGGTACAGGGTGTGAGAGACGCGTTCTATGTCATTGGTGGAACCACTGTCGCTGTCACGCTTTGCACGATTCCAATGTATATCTACGGCAAGCGTGCGAGGAGTTGGGTGAAGAGATGCGGAGTACTCGATAGTGTTCTCAAAGCCGAGTAGAGTATCAATTGCGCGACGAGAAGAGCCTGCGTGTCTCGTGAGCGTTTCCTAGTGTATTATGAACTCTAGAATGTATTACCGTAGCAATATTTTTCCAAGCTTCCGATCGTGTCATACGTCCAGTGCCGACCACAGCGTGGTGAATGGCCAGCATTGCCTTCCAAGCGTAGGCTGGTCCTGTGGCTGCCGACAATCGGCATCTTTGGTGGTTGACTCGTGTGACCGAGGACGAGCCGGCTACCTGACTCAGCCTGACTGGCATCGCCGCAGCATCTGCCAGACACTCCTTTCGAGTTCTAGAAGTAGTTTTCTTGCCATCTTGCTGGATTAGTGGAAGCTCGCGGCATGTTCGGTGCTACAGGCATGTCGCAGTCTTTCAGTTGCTGCAGGATTGACACCGGGGGGGTTGTATCGTCGGGTAACTGGCGAGAAGCGTGCGCACCACTATTCGGTCGACCTTCGGCTGCCCTGGATGTCTTGCGCGCTCCGTCGTTATCAGGGGCGGAATTGCTGTGTCTCGACGGAAATACTTCCGGGGCTGCCGTCTTGCGACACTGTGCTTGTAGCCAAGCTGTCAACTGCTCGGTCGTCTGCAAAGGCAGGCGCTTCCATTCTTCAAGCTTTTCGGCTTTTGCACCTTGGCGCTTTGTTGCGTACGATGATGTGTCTGGAAGCCGAACGTCGCTCAACCGTACTGAGTCTTCGTGTTGGAGCACGTTGAGAGTTGCGGAGAGTGCAGCCTCGGTGTCTGCAAGCCGTTTCTCGAGAGCAGTGATGTATGCGGCTGGGAGGCCACGCTTACCACCCTCTTGATAGTGGCATGGCAGCGATGATGTCTGGCATTGAGAGCAGCATGGGCTGTGTTGTTAGATGAAGTTCTGCAGCTGGCATGTGGGTTACCCACAGCTTCCGATCGCACTTGCACTTCTTCGATCTGCAATTCTCGCATGCAATGGCATTCAACTGGACCTCCAAATCGCAAAATCAGTGTATGTACCGGGGTTTGAGACGAGGTCGCGCACCGCTTCAGTCATACTTGGATGACAATGGAAGTGTTGGAGTTTGAGGAGGCTGGAGCTATCCGGAAGGTGTGGCTTGGTGATCTGTGCGCCACGAAGGGAGCCCCCTAATGGCAGGCGCGTCAAGCCCTTCACGTCATCTCTCCGACGCGACATCATCTACTTCAGAGCTTGAAACGACATACATTACGAAGAGCAATGCTGCTGAGCAGAATGCGCATCGTGGATTGGTGTAGGCTCCTGCTGAGACCCGCCCACGAATCGATTGCCGTTGCGGCACTACCGCACAACGTCTTCCGCCTGAAGAATGCCCGGATTTTTGGCCCGCCGATCCAGCCTCTTTCGCACTTTGTCGCCCAGATCAGTCGAGAAGTTGGCGATGCTATGCGAAAGAACTTGTCGAGGGACAGGAGAATTTTCCCCGCATTCAACTTTACCCGTTGCACCACGGACCGCGCCAGACACGGCTAGTGCTGAGGTCCATGTCGGGCATCGGGTCATCTGAGTCCAGCCCTGCATACACATCCACGGACCTGAGTACACGGTTTTGATATTGAAGCTGACGGTGTTGAGTAAGGCAGACTAGCATAGCACGGCATTTATCCGCATGGCAGAGAGAATTAGCCTCATATTTCCAGGTATGGAGCAATGAGATTTGGTGGTGGTTGTATCGTCGCAAGACAGGCATTCGTATTTCCTTTGATCAACGGTCATGCTTCACGATGAAGGATGCGTCAACCGTACCACCGGGCACAAACCCCGCAAAGCCAAGAAGGAAGCAAGGCAGATCCAGCATCCCTTTGTCGGTTCGACGGTTTCTTGAACCGGTGAAGTGCTTGGCTTCGAGTATGTAAGTTGAAGAAGTGCCATCCTGACGCTACACTGAGTACCTATCTCAACCGGAAAAACTATGGCACCAGCAGTTGCAGGCCCTGGCGACGGCATTATCGAGCGCCTCGTCGCCGCCGATACGGTACGATGGTGGAACAAGCCAAACCTCCGACGTCTCTACCTATTGCTGGTACCTTTCTGCTTCTTCATTGAGTCTACTTCTGGATTTGATAGCTCAATGATGAATGGAAGTAAGTCGTTTTTACTACACCGCTGCTTGAGACGAAACACTGATCCAGTATACGTCATCAGTGCAAGCTCTCCACTACTGGCAAGAATACTTCAATCATCCCAAAGGAGGCCAACTCGGATTGCTTGTCGCCTGCTACAACCTCGGCGCTATATCGAGTATTCCGTTCGTTTCCATCGTGTCTGATCATCTTGGAAGGCGGAAGAGTATCGTCTTGGGGTCCACAATTATGATCATCGGAGCAGTAATGCAGGGCTTGTCGCAGAACCGTAAGTATTTTCAGCATGCTTATTGCATTCAGAGATTCTTGCAACTGACATACATGTAGTCGCCATGTTTATCTTCAGTCGAATTTTCCTTGGCCATGGTATTGTCTATGCCATCATCTCCGGCGCCGCTCTTCTCGGCGAATTAGGCCATCCCAAAGAGCGACAGTTCTTAGGCAGTCTCTTCAACGCATTCTTCGGAGTAGGCTCCGTGCTCGGGGCGGGTATCGGTGAGCAACTTTCCTCTACGAAAGGTAGATGAATGCATGCTAATCTCGGCTCCGATGTATAGTCGTGCGTACGTTACTAATCCCGAGCGACTGGTCTTGGCGCCTCCCCTCCATCCTCCAAGCAGGCCCTTCTGTTATCCAGATCATCTTTGCTTTCACGGTCCCGGAAAGCCCTCGATGGCTGGTTTCAAAAGATCGCAGCGAAGAAGCTCTTGAGATCTTGATCAAGTACCATGCGGAAGGCGATGCATCGGCTGAGCTACCTCACCTTGAGATTGCCGAGATCAGGAAAGCCCTGGAGTTGGAGAACGAATCGCGACAACGTGGCTGGGCCGAGCTCTTCCAATCCAAAGGCATGCGACACCGTGCTCTTGTCGCCGCCGGCCTTGGCATCTTCGTCCAGTACAGCGGCAACAACCTCATCAGCCAATACCTTGTGCCTATCCTGGAAAAGATCGGCATTGAAGATAGTCATACCCAGGTGCGCTACAACGTCGGCTCAGAAGCATGGGGCTTCCTCATGGCGCTTGTCATGGCAACTGTCACACCCCGATACCCACGTCGCAGGATGTATCTGCTGTGTGCGAGTTGCTTGTTGTGCGTGTATACCGCTTGGACCATTGCTCAGGCTCGTAATCGCCAGACTGGATCTAAAGAGACAGGCTATGCGGTTCTGGTCATGATTTTTCTCTACAAGCCCGCCTACAACATCGCCTACAATGCCCTCACATATGTCTACATGGTCGAAATCTTCCCCTACTACGTCCGAACCAAGGGTCTCTCATGGTTTCAACTCTTCAATCGTTGCTCCGTCATGCTTGGATCCTTCACCAATCCCATCGGACTGGAAGACCTTGACTGGAAGTTCCTCTTCGTTTACATAGCTTTGCTGTGTTGCGAGATTGTGTTCATCTACTTCCTGTTCCCGGAAACGTACGGAAAGACATTGGAAGAGCTTACTTTCTTGTTCGAAAGTGAGAAGGACGACGCCGATGCGCTCGCTGCAACCACCGCCAAGGTCATGGGTCAGGATAGCAACGCCATCGAGCTTCATGAAGCGCCAGACAAGAAGGCCTAAGTCGCAAGTAAAGTGGTGGCTGGGACTGAGGTCAATGGATCTTGCAAATGACGTTGCATTTGGCGCTCACAAGGCGGGTTTTGAGGCCGCTTGGAAGTGAGCCGCATTCCTTCGAGCGGGTATGAAACGGTCGTGGACGAAAATAGTGGAGATGGAGATGCACAATTTGTGGCTGTTCAGTACAAGTCAGTGTTGCTCGCGGTCGTCTCCGGTAATGAATCATGAACTAGTCCTCCCTTTCCCGTGTAAGATTTTGCATCGCTCGTTGTGGCTCGCAATGAACACTTCGGGGTCGTGCAATATTAATGAAGCCATGGCTGACATCAGCTCAACACCTTTGCATTGTTACCCATATGCCCGTCCAACGTTCCGAAGTAGCATGCGGCGCAGCAACATACCAAACCAGAGCTTGCATACAACGCCTGAAGAGGCTGGAAATTGCGCGAATCTCCACTTCCATCCCTAAGTTTGTTTCGACAACACCACGCACCAATGACTCGCTCTTCTATGCGACCATGACACCGATCAAGCGACAGCGGCTACAGAAGACAGATCTCCGACTGATCGGGACCTGTGGGGTATCTTCCGAACGAATGGGAACCTGGCGGCTTTGAAACAACAACAGATGGGCATAAGCTTGGCCAGTGAGGGTATGAGGGTACGCAACGATCGCAATGCAGCCTTGATAGCCGCGACCCGGCAGACTGGATTTAGCGTACGCCGGTGTTAGTACACGTGTCAGTACTAGAGAACACGAATGACATGTTCAGCCTCAAGCCACCGTAGTATCAAGTCAGTAAGCGAAGTGTTGGATGTAGAGGTAGGCTACCTAGGTAGCTACGAGGTGTCAGACGATGGTCCATCATAACACACCTGATATGCTTCGGCTACTCCAGAGGAAGGCAGTTGTCACGCCCCTGCTTGACACTGGGAGACGCCGTCACGTGAAGCTTGCTTCATGCATGCATGCGTTGGTTGCTTTGCACCGAGATGCTAAATGCACGATAGACGCGACGTGGAATATTCGAAAAATAGACGCATAGCTACATATTCCGCGGCGCTGATAGGTGGCTATTAATAAGTGGGGTTATCGGCCCCGCGCTTAACGATAGTGCGACCCCGCTATCTGAACCCCCAAAAAATTCGTCGAAACATCCCGATGCCGTCGTTCCCACCACCTCCACAACCACCCACGTCGCGCGAGTTCACGCGATACCACCGAGGCTGGAAAGCGGCATCGCCATTCGCTCACCGAGCAAAACCAACATGTTTCCCCAACCCCGCGCTCCTTACATTGGCTGCAGCGTCCGATGAGGCTCGAAGCGCTTATACGACTGTGCCTCATTGATGCATCGTCATCGAAACGTGACCTCATGGAGGGGCCAAAAGCTAAGAATACGCCTAGCTGCATATGTTTTAATACCACAGCGGCAACGAGAATACGCTAGCCTAGCCATGCGGCCATCCCAGCGGTTATACACATGCTCTGTACGGCTACACCCACAGCGGTGACCCGGCTTGACAGCTCCCGACGCCCGCGCCGCACGTAGGTGTCGTGGAAACGGCCTTCAGCCGCCTTTCTTGGCACACTTTTCTGGAGGTTGGGTCTGGTCCTTGCGGCTAGCTCGTGCCGTGAATGGTGCGTTTGCTCGGTAATGCACCGGTTTCCAGAACGAAGGCATAGTTTGCATGTACGCCGCAGTAACAGTGCTGTTTGATGTTTCGAGCAGGCTCCAATCATGGAAATGGCTTGTGGAGGCTTATACTGCAGCTCGATGTTGTTATAGTATGGCGATGGTAGGTGTGCACAACGTATCTGCAACTTCATTCCAGTTTGGCATTTCTACCTACTAGCCATTTACTGTCTCATTCTACCTACTGTCAACTTTTCTCTCGGTACTTGGGAAGAGCAAGTCTTCTTGCAACGCCTTTTCCAATGCCGTATCCTCTTACCATACCAGGCTCGCCGTCCAACATGTCTCAACCGGAGCGTAGTCCCATGCACTGGCCCACCTTTCCCGACAACGTCCCAATCTACCTCGACACAGGTGACAACCGTGCGGCAGGCAAGAGCTATGGGACAACACCAACAACACCGACGACACCAGAGATCTTACCTCAAGGCCGTCCAACCTATCTGAGTCCAGCCCACATTAACGCCCCACCAATCAGTCCGGCTGAGCCAAGTCCCACCACAACTATCGAAACATCTTCTGATCACCGCTCTGTGATCTGGCCGATTCCAGAACCACCTCCAGAGGTCATGACACAGCAGCCTCGCCGCCCACTACTTCGGTTCTTTCCCACAGATCGACCGCGTGTACGACTTGATGAACCTTCACTTCAAGCTCCACATACATCTACAGATCCGGAGAAGCAGGAACACCCTGACCAGAAATCTCGGTTCGGTCTGGGCATCAGTGATGGCCCACCCAGACCACCCTCGATCCGCGTACAGCCACCACCTTTTGACAACGAGAAGGTTGACCCGGCATCGAATATTGCACAACGTATCGAAGAGAAACTCTGGACTTACAACTCCTCTGGGAATGTCGTTGAGCGTTGGCTCCTTGAGATCGTCAGCTGGCTGATCAGCGCTGTGTGCATGGGCGCGATCATCGCAGTCTTGGTTGTTCTCAAAGACAAGCCCTCATCCAAGTGGCCATTCGACAGCATCGGGCTCACCCTCAACGCCTTCGTGTCAGTACTGTCACGTATTGCTGGTGCAGCACTGCTACTTCCAGTTGCGGAGGCACTCGGACAACTCAAGTGGAGCTGGTTCATCAAAGGAGACTCGAAGAAGATGTGGGACTTTGAGATGTTTGATAATGCATCAAGAGGACCCTGGGGCGCCTTTCTTCTGCTTATCCATACGAAGGGCAAGACCATTGCAGCCCTTGGTGCTCTCGTTACGATCTTTGCCCTAGCGCTAGATCCTTTCTTCCAACAGGTCGTCAGCTTTCCACAACGCTGGACATTGCAGGGCACCAACAGTTCTATCGCTCGAGTTGTACGATACGAACCTGTGCTCGACGTTGATTACAGAGATGGCACCCCGATCTCGCAGCAGGATGCGAACATCATGGCCGTTGCCAATCTTTACTTCGTCAACAACGGCACTCAACCGATGCCTTTTGGAAATGGAACTCGCGCAGAAGTACCCTTGTCATGCCCTAGTAGCAACTGTACATGGCCGAGCTACGACACTCTTGGCATGTGCAGCGAATGTGTAGACACGTCAAATCTCCTTGACTTCGCATGCATGTCTACGCAAGTCGACTGGACATCACAACTGACCAGCAATACGTCTACATACATCAATACGACCGTATGCGGGTACTTCTTGAACGCTACAGGCGAGGCACCAGTTCTAATGTCTGGATATATGGTAGACGAGAACGGTACCAAATCCGACGAGGCTCTCATCATGCGGACTTTACCTCTCATCACCTGGCCGGCCCGCGATCCACTTTGGGGAGACGGCTCGATCAATTTCAAGAACGTACGCAATCCAATCGAGGACGTCTTGATCGCCAGCACTGCCAATGCGTCTGACGTTTATGCGGACAAGAGGCCGGTGATGCACGAGTGCGTCTTGTCCTATTGTGTGAAGAGTATCCGGTCTTCCTATTACCTGGGAACATACGAAGAAGAGATCACCAATGTCTTCATCAACGATACCAAGGGGAAATATCCGTGGTCTACTTACGAAATGCCGGAAGAGCAGATGACATACACAGACTATCTTGAGAATGTTACTATTGCTGCGCCTCCGACCGATCAGAATTTTTCGACGTACGGATGGGGTGTTAGCAACGACACTCTGCTCAACACCGTCGTAATCTTCGATCGCATATTTCCCGCCTTCACAACTGTTACCAATGATTCGGAAACCCCAACCCTTCGCTGGAGGACCGGAAGTCCGGACATGGTCATGACCAAATTCCTAGACTTCAATCCATGGCTGGTACCAAACAACATTACGCATCACATGGAGCGAATGGCACGTTCTATCACGAATGTCATTCGATCGTCAAGCAGTGGTGATTTGGTTTATGGCCAGGCTTTTGACAACGAGGTGTACGTGGAAGTTACCTGGGCTTGGCTGACTCTGCCACTCCTTTTGTTGTTCGTGAGTTGTGTATTTCTCGTGTCCACAGTCATCAAAAGCGCTACCGAGAAAGGTCAAGTGAGCATAAGGAAGAATTCCGCGATCGCTACATTGCTCTATGGGCTTCCAGACCACTATCAAAAACGACTGGCGAAGTCCAACTCGCAAGGCACACCAAGGACCAAAGCGAAGCACCTCAGAGTAAGGCTATCTGCGACACGCGGGTGGAGAAGTTCTGGGAATGTGTTTACCCCTTTGACGCCCAAGGCGCCAAATCTACCACCACCAGGGTGGATTTGATCTCATTTTTCGTTACATAAAGCGGCCTATACTACAACTTGGAATACAACGGAATAATAAAGAAATTAAAAAAGAAAAGAAACGAAATCTTCTACCCCGCTGTTCTGCAACACCCATTACCGACGCTTCCACTTGAACAGATCATCCGGAAACTGCCTCGGTTGTCGGTCGAAGTAAAGACACGACCACATTCAACCAGACCATCTATCGATCAAGCGTCGCGCTTAGGTGTCCATGGCACACCCTTTCCACGCACAACCACGTTGTTTGATGCCTCAGCATCGCGCTTAGGGTGCCACGGCACTCCCTTTCCACGCTTGTCGTTTGATGCCTCAGCATCACGCTTGGGTGTCCACGGCACTCCCTTTCCACGCTTGTCGTTTGATGCCTCAGCATCACGCTTGGGTGTCCACAGCACTCCCTTCCCACGCTTGTCGTTTGTGGCCTCGGCATCGCGCTTGGGTGTCCACGGCACTCCCTTTCCACGCTTGTCGTTTGGTGCTTCAGCATCGCGCTTGGGTGTCCACGGTACTCCCTTCCCACGCTTGTCGTTTGGTGCTTCAGCATCGCGCTTGGGTGTCCACGGTACTCCCTTACCACGCTTGTCTGTTGATGCCTCGGCATCGCGCTTGGGTGTCCACGGCACTCCCTTCCCACGCTTGTCGTTTGGTGCCTCCGCGTCGCGCCTAGGTGTCCACGGCACTCCCTTCCCACGCTTGACTACGTCGATTGTTGCCTCAGCATCACGCTTGGGTGTCCATGGAACTCCCTTTCCACGCCCGACCAGGCTCTCTGTCGATATGGTGACTGGCTCTCTCCGCAAGAGGTCTTTGAACAGATTTACGACAGAGAAATCACTGCGGCTCTCGATTGTTGTTAATGGACTGATCTACGAAGAGTTAGTTGCTGGGCTCAACGTCTTTGACCATGGTTGGTACTTACATTGTTGATTGGTGCTGGTACTGGTGCTGCCATGGTGGGGAGCACCATAGCTACGGCAAGAATGATGGCGCGTGCGTGCATGGTCGCGGTTGTGGTCTTGGAACGCAGGATCTGGCTTTGTTGATCGATGGAGAAGAGGTGGATACTACCCTTGTGGAGAAGGCAGAGTCGGCGCGACCGAGTAAGAGTTTATGTTTGGAGATGGTATTGCGCTTGGGATACAACCTGGAGTATGGGACCGTCGATGCATTTATCCAAGGTCCTGGATGTCAAGCATCGCTTGTGACAATGCGTCACACAACCGACTCATTTCCACTACCCATCCACGGCGCTTCAACCCGCAGTGACTATCTCGAAGATAACCGCCTTTGAAGCCACCGACGCGACGCGACGCGCATGGAACCTGCACACACAGTATCCCTATCATGCCGAACTTGCGCAATCATTGGGGGAAGAGACGGACAGCATAATCGTCGGTGTACAGATTCGGCAAGCTGAAACGCAAAGACCAACGCGACGGAACACAAGGCGTTAGGCGAGAACGCGCAGAAGCCAGGAAGACACAATGCAATGCGTCACATTGCTCCTAGCAACTTTTCATCACACCGAGTTATCACATTCGAAGCGCTCAAAGCGCAGGGCTTTCTACAAGGCGACTCATTAGAGTCGAGATTCTGTAAGTGCGAAGTGTGACCCTCAAAATCTTCTACGACGCAAGAACGTTTTCTAACCAATCGAAAAGCGTTTGCGATGTGATGCGGCTTGGCGGCGTTTTGGCCTCTTGACAGGAGTTGAAGCGATTGGCTCTGCGCAATTGGTACCTTACGCCAATTAACCGTACCCGCGACCTAGTCACAGCTCACCCGCACACGTGATTGACGACGGCGTTACGCTTGCGTTTATTCCCTTTGTTCGCGTTCGATAGCGATTTAATACAGACGATTCTCAACATGATCAAGACGCTTTTGCTGTGGTTGTGGAGTGGTGACTCTAATCTATGGTGGCGTTCATACCTTGTCTTCCAAGGGTTTCAGCCTACAAACCGAACGATGCCCGTGTGGAACTTGACCGTGAATTTCCAACACACTTCTAATACATCCTAACTCTGTCAATGCCGTTGATTTCCAGGCTGCGAATTCCGAATTGGTTACAGCCTGCAATATTCTTTCGCCCGTTGCCCTTTGCAAAGTTCAAGCTCTCTACACCGGGAAAGAAAGGGGTGAGGGGAGCTTAACCAATCACGATCTACGAGGAAGCGCCTGAGATCACCATCTACGTCGTCGTGTAAGGCCTTCATTCACAGTCCAAGACAACCAGTACATGCATGCAAACCTTATCAAGACCACCCTTCATGCCGCTGGATCAATATCTTTGCTCCCGCTGCGGTGTCACTGTCGAACACCATGCACATAACAAGCTCCTTCCGAGCATCATGCGCAAGATGTCACACGGCCCTTGCATGGTGCTACCCGTCGAGGCCTTGTCCTACACCTATCCCAGTAACAACCTTGGAAGGTTCCTCTATCAGCCTTGTTCCCGATGGCCCATTCGCCGACCGCGTCCGCGTGGGCCTCCACATGGCATGGTCGCTGGCGTCGACTGTGAGAAGCCGGACAAGGGCAAGCGGAAGGAAGGCTTCCCACAAGCTTGGTATCACAGGCATCGGAGCAGTGTGTTTGCATCTTGCTTCATGTTGGATAGCGTCATATCTTGTGGCATGTGCTAGGTGTGGGAGCAGGTGGAATGAAGTCGTCTCCCGCAAGTCTCACTCCGCATTCGCCTAGCTCTTGTCACTTGCTCCACGAGGTCTTGATACATTATTCACGTATATTGCTCCGGAAATCAACATCATGCCATATTAACGTGTTGTTCAATTTGCTCTGTATCATACCGTTGTGACATCACGCATGACCTCATGGATGTAGCCCAAGTTAGGCGTTTCTTTGGGCTGATCGGTACTAGCTTCCGTGCGCTCCAGCTGTCATCTTAGACCTTTTCTAATCTTCGGGTCGCCTTGCGTTCTGCCTATCCATGATAACGAGTCCAGCGCGTAAAATTTTGGACGCTCGCGCAACACTTCATGTGGGTCAGAACGGCTCGACACACGGTGGCTGCAGGATGTCGTGCGGGCCTGGGCGCTACTTTGGGTGCGCTATGTGATTGGTTTGATGCCACCTACCCTGTCCCTACGAAACCGTACGACAGCTGGAAACCATCATGGAACGAAGGCGCTGTGAGCGCTTAAGATAACTCTGCGATAGGTCTCAAGTTGACCCGGACTCCGAGCACCTCGAGCGTCTTCGCATCATCAATGATCTAGTCCAGCGTTCTGCATGCACGCACGACTTGGTAATCACTTCTCTCGAAGCGCAGCGCAGAGTGCTCAGGCTCGATCAGCTGCAGAGTCTGTATCCGACCGATAAGCGCAGGTTCATTGTGAAAGACCGACGTACTATCGAAAGCCACCAATACAGCTTTAGGACGTCTTTCTCAGCATCACATTTTGAGCGCCCATTCACGGCTTCCAGTAAAGAAGAAAATTGTTACACTCTCGACACCATTCTGGCAAGGAAGGATTTCACCGCTATCATACGCGCTGTCGCGCAGTTTGTTCGTGTCGAAGTTCATAGGGAGACTCGAATTTCGTTTCGCGACAGACTTTGCGATACCCAGGTAGTGAGAGAGCTATCATACTGGATCGCGAGGCGAGCGTCTCTTGTGTCTTGCTCCCTGACCGATCTTCATGCTCAAGGAAGGGTACAACCTCACACAAGGGAAAGACTACACACCCTAGAGCCAACGTTGACGTTGGATTACCTACTTTGCATGTTTGTATCTTAATGTAGGCTCTAGAGTGTTTAGCTTTCCCCTTGTATGAGGTAGTACAACCTTGGACTATTCAAAGACCGATTTTCGTCAGACGCTTTGGTGACGCACAGCGATGCTGCTAGCGTGATAGCCCCACGTGCCCCAGTCGCGTCAGCATGCATCACGAAGCACGCGAGCTGCCCATCAACGCTACACCACGTTTGCACTTGACAGCCGCATCTTTGAAGCAATCCTCTTCTACGACAACGACGCCCAGCCTACGTGATGATTCCAGTAACGCACGCTGTCTATAGCCAGCATGCTTCCTCGACTCCAGAGCTGTGCCGCAGCGCCAAATGGACCTCCTGCAGCAACTGATCTACCTGGCGCTTAGTCGCCATTGTACAGAGGCTCGATAGCTCTTATCTTAGATATCTCGAGCTCGACTCCGATAGACTCACGACTCATAGTGGCCGCAGTATCTGAGCGAGCGCATCGTCAGACGTATTTTTAGCCGCCCCGACCTTCATGAGGAGGTCGTCCATCGATAAACACGCCATGAAGAACGTCGGCAGACCGCTCACTCGATCTCGTACGGAATACGATCCAGTGACTATTCCTTCGACGACTCCCACGATAGACACAGATGTCGCCTGTCTCCAGACTCCCACCGTCCTACATCCCAACCCTCAGCACCGGGCATACCACTCCGCCTCCCTCCTACCGTGCGTCGACCCAACACAAGCCGTCGCTAGATCTATCTCAACGTTTTGAGAAGAAGCTGGCAGAATACAATGCGTCCCAGAACATCTTAAAGCGCTGGCTGTTTGAGATTGTTAGCTTGACCATCAGCGCTATCTGTATGGTATGTACCATCTCGATGTGCAGATCTCAAGCATGCGTCAGACCAGCACTGATAGTCTATCTTCAGGGATCCATAATTGGCCTATGCGTCTACACCAAGGACCAGCCTCTCAGCGACTGGCCACTCGCGTCGACCGCCCAAAACGTACTGTCAAAGATCGCTTCTGCCGCCCTGATACTCCCAATATCTGAAGCCATAGGCCAGCTGAAATGGGCCTGGTTTCGCGGCGCCAAATCGAAAGACATGATTGATTTCGAGATATTCGACAAAGCTTCTCGTGGAGCCTGGGGTTCGTTCCTCCTGCTCTTTCGCACCAAGGGTCGATCTCTAGCCGCACTCGGCGCCGTCCTCACGCTACTCTTGCTAGCTGTCGATACTTTCTTCCAACAAGTCACCGATCTTCCTGAACGCTCGAATCTCGACGGCTATGGCGAGATACCTCGTGTGATTCGATACGAAGGCGATAACGGAGACATATACGAGGATGGCTATCCGAACACCATGGAAGACATAAATCTACGCCAAGCTACACTAAAGTTCTTCTACTATAATGGGAACAAGGCCGTGCCGTTCGGATCGGGGAATCGATCAGAGATACCGCTATCATGTCCGTCGAGTCGATGCGAATGGGACGAGTACGATACGCTGGGGGTATGCAGTGCTTGCGAGGATGTCTCTGAGCTTCTCACATATGCCTGTCTTACGACCAATTTGGACTGGATATCCAGCGCATTCGGGAATAGAACGACTCAGTCAATAGGTATGTCCTCTGTGTACGCGAATTAGTGTTGCATCAGACTGACCCGGTTCTCTAGGAAGTTCTTGTGGTTATTGGATAAATGCCACGAGTGAAGCACCAATCCTAATGTCTGGCTTCAGAACCGGCACTACTGCTGCTAACTCGTCAGACAAAGACGAGGCACTGCTACTGCGGACGTTGCCATTATCACCAGCTGTGAGTTCAGTCAATCCGCTTTCGGCAACTCCACTGTTTGGTGGATCGATAAATTACAAGGACATCTACCTACCTTTCCTGGACGCTATAATTGTCAGTGCGGCTGACGGCACTGCTTCCAGTGTATATAATGGTGAACGTCCGGTTGCTCAAGAGTGCATGCTCTCGTGGTGTGTCAAGACTCTCAAATCCACTTACGATTCGGGAGACTACGAAGAAACGGTGATCAAGACATTTCTTAACAGGACAGCTCGTGAGCGGCCCTACCCGTGGACTGGTTGGCCAGTATTGTCCCTGGGTGAGGAGGCCTTCTTCTCGGAATTTCGAGGAAACCTCAGCCTACACCCTCCTGGAACCGACCCAACGATCGATGACTTCGGCATGTCGAACGAGACCTTCGCGAGGACTCAAGCGCTATTCGATGAAATCTTCCCCTCCACCATCACCGTCGCTAACGCTGTGTCGAAACCCTGGTGGCGCATTAGAATCTATGCCTGGGGTCGCAACCAACTCCACCCTTTCACGTTTTGCCCATGGCTTGCGCCGAACAACGTTACTCAGTACCTCGAAAGGCTTGCAACCTCCATGACTAATGTTCTGAGAACGCACAACAGCCATGACTTTGTTCGTGGGCGAGCCTTTTCTCAGACTACCTTTATTGCTGTTCACTGGGAATGGCTCACATTCCCTCTTACTCTCTTTTTGTTTAGCCTGCTCTTCCTCGCAGCGACTATCTACAAGACGTCCAAGACTGCGGACAGTGGGATGGGGTTATGGAAGACTTCAGCCATGCCTACATTACTATACAGTTTGCCGAAAGACACACAAGAGGCTGTTGCTTCTCAAGGTGGATGGAAGAACAGTTCTAATGAAGACTCAAAGAAAGTCAAGATTCGCTGGCTACCGAAGCATGGTTGGAGAGTGTCCGGTCAAGTGCGTATGTCGTCGTCGCCGGACACGAATAGCAATCGGAGAGCACCTCCCGGGTGGATCTGAATCTGTATTGTGGTGCATCTTTGCGCATACCTGACAGAGGCAAGCAAAGCATGCTGCTCTGCAACTACGTTTTCTTGGAATCTGCCTCGTCCTACTCTTGTTTCATGCATGTATAGCCACGTTGAAGCAGTGTCCGTCATCCAGTCACGCACGACAGGCATGTGAGGCTCGGTACTGATCGCTCATGCTGCCGATACACTCATTTCTTACGACAACAAAGCAACATGACAACGAACGTCGCATAAGCGCGTCTGTGTTGCGACGTCGACTTCGCGTGCCTACTTAGATGGTCGGCGTCAACTTCCGCGGTAAATCGCCCGGTGCCATTGGCTTATACCGCCAAGCCACACGCGAGATCAACACCATTAGACATGGCAAGTCTGCATGACCATGGATTCGCAGCTGTTCAGCGCTAAAGCTGATCTTTTGATGGCCTTTGTCTTCTTGTTAGCGAACCTAGCGTGCATTCGGCGGCTGGATATCTTCAGTTGTAGGATGTTTGAACGCTGCGGCGTAGAGTTGCCGAGCCAGCCTCATCCCCACTAAAAGCTCTAGTGCAAGTACGGAGGGCCTCATACAAGAATATGTTGCCTATTCAATCATGCGTCGCATTCGTTTGCCGGTAGCTCAGAGCACGATCACTCGATATACACATCCCAATGAGCGAACCACCCAGTTATCCCGCCGCCATCTCAGCACATGCACGTAGCCACATGACAACACTTCCGCAGTACGAACCTTCAAGAAACCTACCGCAAAACGTCCGAGACTATAAGCACTACAAAGCGCCAGCATCCGGCTCTGGCGAGAACGAGAAGAGATCGCTGGATCTGGTACAACGTCTGGAGAAGAAATTGGCCGAATACAATGCGTCTCAGAATGTCTTCAAGAGATGGCTTTTTGAGTTGGCTAGTTGGCTAGTGAGCGCGCTGTGCATGGGCGCAGTCATCGGGATCTACATCACCATCAGTGGCCAGGAGATGACCAAGAGCGAGCAGTACCTTACAATATCCAACACACTAGGAAAGATAGCATCGGCTGCACTCATCGTACCAACCTCAGAAGCACTTGGACAGCTTAAGTGGAATTGGTTTCACAAATCTAACGCGATGTGGGATTTCGAGATCTTCGACAAGGCATCACGGGGTGCATGGGGCGCTACACTGCTCCTCTTTCGAACAAAAGGGCGATCGCTAGCTGCCCTAGGTAAGCTGTGGCCGTATGTACTGCATGTGAGAATTACACTGACTTCGTATCTTTACCTCTGCAGGAGCCCTACTGATTGTGTTGCTGCTTGCTATCGACACTTTTTTCCAACAAGTGGTGACATTTCCGGACCGTTGGGCCTTGCAAACCGCATCAAGTTCCATTCCAATCGTCAAGACGTACAGTCCGCCTATGGCCAAATTATTCATCAAGGGTTTCGAGATAGGCACATACGATCAGATTACGGCCCCTGTTATCAAGAGTTACTTTTATGAGAACGGATCGATACCTGTGCCGTTCGGAAGTGGATTTCGTCCGGATATACCACTGTCCTGCCCTTCCAGTAAATGCACCTGGCCTGTTTACGACACCCTTGCGACGTGCAGCAGTTGCGCGGATGTTTCTCAGGATCTTGACATCACGTACGCCTGCCTGAATACCACGATTGATTGGAGTGCCAAATGGGATGGTCCACTAGTAGATGTACCATACCCGGTCGGAAACGTCTGCGGTCATTTTCTCAACCTCACTTCGACTGCGCCGATGCTTCTCTCCGGTTATGTGGCGGGCGAAGACGGCACTACGAACTCAACTGATGAGGTCTTGCTGGTGCGCATGATTCCTTTCGCTGATTTGAACACGAAAGAACCCTCTTATGGCACTGGATCCTTCGCCTTCAAAGACATTCGCTATCCCATCGCTGACGGTCTTATCGCATCAGCATCGAATGGTGTCGATAGTGTCTATCGGAATGAGCCTCCTGTGGTGCACGAGTGCATGTTGTCTTGGTGCGTTAGGCGAGTAAGATCATCGTACGAGTGGGGTGTGTACAGCGAGAGTACCGAGGAGACATTTCTCAACATCGCAACTGAACCTGATCCTTGGCCATGGACAGTCATCGATGACTTCTTCACATATTGGCCAAACATCACACTGGAAGCGCCAGCCGTGGACTTTCCTGATACCAACGTCACTTATTCTGTGTGGAACGATACCGCTTTCCAAATCATGGTCGTCTGGGACGACTTTTTCCCGTCGTTCTACACAGCTACGGATAGGGACTCAGAGCCTGTGTTAAGGTTCAAGGACTACCCAAATGGGCCTACTACTCGCTCCATTGACTCCAATCCATGGTTAGCGCCGAAAAACGTTACGCGTCACATGGAAGGGCTTGCATCAGCCCTCACCAACGTCATGCGCTCGAACTCCAAGACTACCGAAGCGCTTCTCGGTGAGGCATACAATCAAGAGAAGTTCGTTCACATCAACTGGCCGTGGCTCATATTCCCGTTGCTGCTTCTGCTACTGAGCCTAGTGTTCTTGGTCGCTACCATCATCAAAACGTCGAATGATACCGACACGGGGTTTTGGAAGACTTCGGCGATGCCAACGTTGATGTACGGTCTACCACAAGATATGCGGAAGGACAGTATCTCAACCACGAGCTCGGATGGCACACCACATCACGATCCCCGCAAGGTTAGAATTAGACTCTTGCCAAAGCAAGGCTGGAGAGTGTCGGGACAGGTGCAGCCAGCACCGACAGCTCCACCTGGTTTTATATAACCGTAGACCGGTACCCGCTGTACTAGATTGTAGATAGTCAAGTCATTCTGATAGAACTAAATAACATGTGATGGAGTTATCTCACCAATCAGACGCCCCGCAGCGCACGGGCCACTTATTCTATCTTCTGCGGAGCGTCTAAGGAAAAATAGCAGACTTTTTAGTAAATAGGCATTTTAAAATTACTTTTACTACTTACTCCTTACTTTACTACACTACAACGCCTTAATATATTTATAAAATTATTAATGCAATGCCTTTATCTAGTAAATTACTATATAAATTACATTTTTAAAATATAAAAAAGAAGCTATTAAGAGAGGAAGTACAGCGTATAAAAGGGCGTATTTTAGTAGTTTTAGGCAAAATTACCGCTGCTATTTTTCCTTAGACGCTCTGGAGAAATTCACTACTTACGTGAGTAGTGGTCCGTGCGCAAGAGCGTCGACTAGTGAGATAATGATGGAGAACCATATCTGGCACGTTTTGCCAAGCAATCGTCATCCCGGAGCCAGCCCCGTTTGCCGAAGCCCAGCTCCAACGCGTCCCGCTGACCCTCACCCCTTGTGTCCCCGTCCCAACTTCATTACTCAAATTTCAACTCTCCCTTCGGTCGCCGGAAGATCTTCGCTTACTACTTCCAAGGTCGCTCTATTTGTCTGCGCGATGTGGCTATGTCGGTCTCCGCGCCGAGGTCGGTAGCCGGCATCCAGTCGCCATGCCGCAGCGCTAACAGCAAGCCTCCCATAGGCGCACGATAACGAAGCGCATTCCCAGCCACGAAGATGGACACGCGCAACTTGCGCTGCGCTTCTGCGACACCTGGCTAGGTAGTAAGATGGGACGTTCAGGCTATACAACCTCGCAGGCGCCGGTCTGCGGCCGTCTTGCTTCCAGGAATCGATCGAAACACCCTCTTGCCCGCAAGACAGTTACCCTTCATGTTCCTCACTGAGAACCGCGATATACTCTACAGCAACGTACGCCCCATGTCAATGGCTCCAACCTCGACAGCAAGACGATCTTATCTTCCCCACAGTTCACCACAAAGTGGGGAATACCGACTGCCACATTCGCCTGAATCGCTCGACCCTCCCGAAAACGAAAAGCCAGCGCTAGACTTTACACAACGAATCGAGAGGAAGCTAGCGGAATACAACGCCTCTAACAACGTCTTCAAGAGATGGCTGTTTGAGATCTCGAGCTGGTTCATAAGTGCATGTTCGATGATCGCGATAGTTCTCATATGCCTTCATATCAAAGATCAGCCAATACTCTCGACGAATAGCGCGTTCATTACCGGGATCAATGTGCTGGGGAAGATCGCGTCTGCTGGATTGATAGTTCCCACAACCGAAGCGCTCGGCCAGCTGAAATGGACTTGGTTCCACAACTCCAGGGCTATGTGGGATTTCGAAATATTTGATAAAGCTTCTCGTGGACCGTTAGGAGCGTTAATGCTCCTTTATCGCACTAAGGGCCGTTCACTAGCAGCACTCGGCGCACTGCTAATACTTCTGCTACTTGCTATAGATACATTCTTTCAACAAGTCACCGAAGTATCCGACCGATGGACCCTCCAGGCAACTCTTGCGGCAGTGCCTAAGGCATACAACTATGAATCGACCTATCCAAAAGAGTACCTAGATGGGTATGAGATAGCAACGGACGATAAAGACACCTTCTTGACAATCGAAAAGTTTTCCTATGGCGAAGGCATACGTCCAGTCGTGTTCGGAAACGCCGTTCGCCCCGATATCTCAATCGTAAGTGATACACGATACATCCTGTAACGGTGGTTTCATCTCGATCATTTTCCGCCGTTGATCTTCACGCTGACCAGCTACATCTAGTCTTGCTCGACTAGCAACTGTACATGGCCCTTGTACACGACACTAGGCGTTTGCAGTCAGTGCACGGACATAACGACTGAACTCTCGTTTGCGTGTTTGACGCACACTGTGGATTGGACGGCAGATTCGGACGGATTATTCGATCTCCAGCAGCCGTATCCTAATGCGACTGCGTGTGGTTACTTCCTAAACGCAACAAGCGATAATCCGACATTGATGTCAGGATACCTGTGGGACGAGGCCAACTCGACCGCGGGCGAAGCCCTCACGATGCGCACCTTTCCACTGACCCGTATCATCACGAAAGAGCCTTTATACGGCAACGGCTCAATTCATTTCAAGCACATACGCCACAAGATTCAAGACGTTCTGATTGTCTCTTCGAGCGATGGGTCAGCTGAAGCAGTGTACCGAAACGAGACGCCTGTGGCACAAGAGTGCCACCTATCTTGGTGTGTAAAGACCATGAGCTCGTCATATACTTGGGGTGGGTATAATGAAGAAGTAGTTGACACAGTCTTCAACACCACTGCTGGTCCATTTCCGTGGGAAGCCTATCCTTACCAAACCGAGGTTGAGAACGGTACCGATATCTTCTACATGGAGAACATAACTATCAAGACGGAAGAATTCACCGGCGATGGCAAGCTTGCCAATTTTGGGACGTCAAATGCGACTGCCTTGGCGTTGATGCAAGGCTTCACAGATATATTTCCCGCATACACCACTCAGGCCAATGGTTCAGCTTCCCCAATTCTACGCTACAAGACATGGAAGACCGGTTCTCCATGGCACCAGACGCTCTTCTTCAACCCGTGGCTTGCTCCAAACAATGTCACGAGGCACATAGAACGATTAGCTACAGCTCTAACCAACGTTATACGATCAGCACCTACCCGCGAGGATGTCGAAGGCCACGCGTTTTCCAAGGCCAACTTCATATCAGTAAGATGGGCATGGCTTACGTTCCCACTTCTCTTACTGGTCCTAAGCTTTGTCTTTCTGGTGTCGACAATAATCAAAACCTCCAAGGATACGGGTGCCGGCATCTGGAAGACTTCCGCGATGCCAACCCTCATTTACAGCTTGCCGAAAGAGGCGCAAACCCAGTTCACCAAATCACCAACTTGGAATAGTTCAAAAGATACGAAGAAGGTCCGCATACGGTTGCTACCGAAGACAGGATGGAGGGTGTCCGGCCAGAGTATATTGAGCCGTTCTCCGCAATTGCCACAACCTGCTGTTCAAGCACCACGTGGCTGGATTTGAAATGTGTTGCACCGATCTGTGCAATTGGATATCCAGCGGGCTTTATACAATATATGACATAAATATTACTTGAACGACGAAGCAGGACTTCATGACTTGACGCACATTGTGGACTCATCATCGTGATCTGTCAAGTCATCAGACAGTCGAGGATATCTCAAGATATGCTATCCAACTTGATGCATGAAGCAAGATGTCATAGATCTGTCCAGACCTACCAGAGAACTCTGTGTGACCAAACCCACAGAGCTCTCTTGAAATGATGGGGGAGGGGTGAGGTGAGTAGATGATGGAAGGTGGCACTACGCCCAATGCGGCGCACGCTTGGACCAGGGCACAATTGCTACAACAGTTTGCTCTCGCGCAGATTTCTCTCTTCTCCAGTGCACATCATGGCGTTCAAGTATGGAATTCCTGTGCCCTCAGAAAAAATCACATTCGGTCGAGCAAATCGACTATCACAAACCCCCAATCTGACTCCGAACAATACGACTTCGATCTATTCACACCAGACCACGAATGCGCCCAGCTGTGTCGAATTCGGCCTCAAATGCCCGAACTGCTCGTTACCGAGAGCGCCGGGGGTGACGAATAACAAGAACAAGAATGCGCCACTGCCTGAATCCGATCAAGTGTCACCTGGCAATGTGGACTTACCTCGGCCGGACAATCCGAATGCGCGTTCCGTTGTCGATCAGACTGAGAACGAGGGAGACAAGGATGACAACAATCTCCAAATTGAGGAAGAAGACAAGAAGGGAGAAGAAGAAGATAAAGATGACGTCAAAGTGGAGTGGTCGAAATACGTTTCACTGCGACTCTACAATATGGCACGAGCCGACCCCTCACTCATGACAATGACAGCGGCAGAAATCGAGCAACTCAATGAGCAAGGTCTCAAGCATCAATACGACAAACATTTCAGTCCTCGTGAGCGAACCTTGTGGGACGACGAGTCTTTGCCCCGACACCTGGTACTAAAGCTCATCCGATTCCGCCAAAGCATCGAGCGCGATGCAGCGAACGCCTTGGAGACAGAGGAAAAGGAACCGAACTATGACGCCCATATCTTTGATCAACTGAGCGACTATTTGAGTGATCTTCGGAACTACGCCTACGAACTTGTCGCCGAAGACCGCGAGCGCGAAGTGAAAGCGATGGAAAATATGCAAGAAGCCGTCGAACATTGGTCCGCAGAAGAGGAATATGAGTCCGCAGAGGAGGAATACGAGCACCCAGGGGAGGACGACTATCGCCCTTCTTACTCCGACCAATCTCGAGACCTACCCGCGATGGAACACAGTTACCCGAATTCGACGCAACACTCCGAATTTCCACCCGTCAACTACAGTAGTCGGAACACATACGGGCATAACAACTTCTTTGGGCAGAACGCAGCTGCACAAGACGATTGGAGCGGTGGCGCTCCTCAGTCTGGCCGAGGCGAGACTACCTACTACGACTGGGATGGCTCTCGTTCGCCAGAGGAGGAGACGACGTGGTGGTAGGGTCTGTTCAAGCACGACACTAGTTCCTTCTAGTGCACGACATCGGCTCTGCTGATCGCACGCATCGATACAATGGATGCATCATACTGACTTCGGTCGGTTTACCATACTGGCTTCGGTCGGTCACCATACTGACTTCGGTCGGTCACCATACTGACTTCAGTCGGTCTACCATACTGACTTCGGTCGGTCTACCATACTGACTTCAGTCGGTCTACCATACTGCCTTCGGGCAGTCTACCATACTAGCTTCGCTAGTCGCAACACGCATCAAGGTACGTCACGGTGCTACACAATGCACGCTGTATATAGTCTTGGTATATATCGTTCAATCAAACGGTCTCATGCCTACAAAAGAACACCATGTGCGATGCCTATCAGCGTTATTGTTACGGAATAACTATAGGACTTGATCAAACCAACTTTATCCAAGTTTGCCGTTTGGTTTAGCATCAATGATAGAGGCCTCTCTACCGACGGAGACCATAGATGGCCGCAAGGATTTGCAACCATGAGCGACTATGCAGTCGCAAAGATACAGCAAGGGAACTGTGTATTGTAAAAAGCCCTCGATTCGATAGGAATGTGATCACTTAGTGTGATGAAAGCTGTGAGGAGCAGCGTGTTGCATTGCGACGCGTTCTCAGTCTCAGGCTCACGTGATGGGGTTTCAGCGGTCCTGATTCGTACCGCGACTATCATGCTCTCTGATATTCTTCCAATTGCTGTACGAGTCGCCGCAACACTATCATCCTGCGCTCTTGGATAATGCAATAGATCCCGCATCAGTGGTTTCCAAGGCAATCATCAGGGTGAGGCGTAGGTCACGGATCGAAGCGCCACTACATGCGTAGGGGAAATGAGCATGGCGTACGGGATTCTGAATACAATCGTACTTGGTGAGCCTCATTTATGGATAAAGCCCCAGGCGATTGCCTTCGCTGTTGACAGTAGCTTCATCAATTGTACCACTACCAACACGCATCGTCCTCCAATTCTTCTAGACATCTGAGTCTTAGATCAATACTCTTCCTTCCCGCCCATACCAATATGCGCGTACAGGCAGTCACCGTGCTTCTTTCCTTTTCTCTTGCTATCCTCGCGGCACCTGTCACAGACGCTGAGGTAATTCATCCCTCAGTCATATCCCCAGGTCATCGCTCACAGTGTATAGGCATCCCTTCATGATATCTCGTCTGCTAGCGTAAGCCATCGACGAGATGCAATCCCTATAACTCTCATCGAGCCCTTGAAAGCGCGCAGCCAGGCTAAAGAGGTGCCTATTGAAGCTCGAGGCAGGGTCAATACCAGCACCGGACGAGGGAAACGAGAGGCCGAAGCCGAGGCTGAGGCTGAAGTCCTCGAAGCACGCGGGAGGTTCGGGAGTAAAGCAGATGACGTTCCACGGGATGCAGATGTGGAGACCGTCAAGCGGGCTATCGGGTTTCCGAAAGGTGGCTCGACCAGACGACGTCGAGATGCCGAGCCCATCAAGTTCAGCAGCTGTGGTGGTAATCGACGAGACGCCGGGCCGATCAAATTCAGCAGCTGTGGTGGTAATCGACGAGATGTGGATGCAGACACCGACGACAGCTACCGACGTGAAGCTGAACCGATCAGGATCAGCGGCTCTCGTGGTGGTCATCGACGAGAGGCCGAGCCCATTGCTCAATCTATGAAGAATCCAGGAGGAGGCCCCAAACGCCGCGATGCTGCTGCCCAGCCTGGAAGACTTGACATCGGCAAAGGTTATGATCGACGAGATGCGGATGCAGAGGCCATCGATCGATCCATCGGAGTTCCAGAAGGTACCTCGGACACCGATGGCGTCGCTGTTTCCAACGAGGCCTTGGCTGACCGTGGTCGCCTTGTCACATGGCCTCGCACACGCGAAGTTGAGGCATCGAACGACGTGGTTGCGCGTGGAAAGGGAGTGCCATGGACTCCCAAGCGCGATGCTGAGGCAATCAAGATCAACAGCCCTGGCGGCCATCGACGAGAAGCCGAGCCCATCAAACAAACTCTCGGACTCCCAGCAGGTGGTTCGGACACCGACGGTCTCGCTATATCGAACGCGGCCCTGGCCGAGCGAGGTCACAGTGTCCCATGGGGAGGCAAGCGCGCCGCCGAGCCGGCAGACGACTTGGCCGAGCGAAATCGTGGCTCGCGCTGGGGTGGACGCAAGCGTGGCCTTATAAGACACCCTGGAGGTTCTCCTAAGAGGGGCCTTACCCCAGGTCGCGGCGACTACCCTCGGGATGCCGCCCCCCTCAGAGTTGCACTAGGTGGCTGCCGTCGGGATGCTGCTGCCCAGCCTGGGAGAATCGGCACGGGCATAACCTGCGGCCGACGAGATGCTGCTGCAGAGCCCATCGAGGCCCGCCAGAGAATGAGCGCAAGTACTGGTCGTGGCCGCTGACCAGATGCTGTCCCAGGATTCGTTCGTCCAGGCAAAGGAGCCTGGCCAAGGGATGTCACCGCAGAGACAGTCGAGGCCCGTACGAGGTACAGAGGCAATAGCCGTCGTGTTTGATCGATGAAGGCCAGAGAACACAATCGCATAGCTTTCACTTTGTTCATTTTTGCGAACTCTTTATGTACAACAAGATCGGCTGGATACCCCAAAGACCTGCTGGACACCAGGCGGGAGGTATCTAGCCATTCTGTATTTCCTTCCAATCAAATGCCCGTATCCCCATTGGTAGCGCTTCGTTGTTCGCTCCAGCCCGATGGTGGTTGTTTTCGCCGTTATCGCGGTCTCGGAGGTGGGAAAAGGTTGCTAGAGAACTTCCAGCTCGTAATGGGTTTGAGTTCCATTGTGAGCTCTGTCGCGTTCGCTCTTGCAGTGCTGGTGCTGCCCGATCGTCTTCAACACATGGCTAGTTTAGGTCAGCGCTCGTCTGCGAGATGAAAATGTGGGGGGTACCTACGTTGTGTGTGAAAAGGCGAGGAGCTAGAGAGGCCAGGGAAGCTGCGACAATACAGCGGCAGATGAGCGAGAGCGTCCAATTGGGGTTAGCGTGGAACTTGACATCTGGAACCGCCCGGGCGCGGCTACCAGCCGAGCGCGATACCCAGGTAACACCGCCAGCAGAGATTCTTGAACTATTTTACATTTCTGCGTCGTGCGCGAAACCATGAGATTCGAGAAAATCTGGATGTCGCGTCCGATATGAGGGCTAACATGATAGGCGGGTAGGATGTAATGGCGGGGTATGGCACATACTGGTCACCCGGTTTTGTCGCGCAGTGTTGCTCGCGTTGCACCTTCCTCACCACCCACTGGCATACTCGTCTTGTGACGGGCACGACACGGGCATCCCGATCGTCTCCAACACCTGCATCAGTGCGCTCGTGCTTTTTTTCCTTAAAACTGCAACCATACCATTTTCACCTAACCCGAGGGTGTCATGGCTAGTCTCGTCAACGTGTTTCCTACTACCGAGTCTTTGACGCGTTGATTGCTCAGCTGGCGCGAAGCAAACGCGTGTCATTTCAGCTTCAGCGGCCCATTCCCAACGCCTACATACTTATCGTCCATCCTCCACTGCCGGCAATAGATCGATTGATCTGCCGTTCGCTCGTCCGCCCACTTTCTTGCCTATTGCGTCGCCAAGTTCCAGACCCTTGTTAGACGTATGTGGGCGATGGTAAGTTCAAGGTTACCTACCGACGCCCGCGGAAGCGCTATAGTAGTACGACCGCATCGGGAACGGCAAGTTTCCGCGTCGCATACATCCCAGATGGATTGCCTACGTAGCGGATCTCAATAAGAGGGGTACGCCACGAAATCTTGCCGCTGCAGATGTTGGCCGCATCTCCGCATGCGCTATGGCAGCACACTACATAAGCACGATCATGGGACGTATAGAGGGTCCTCAAGTTTCCAACACTGATCAGACGTACCTATCTCATCATGAATAAATCCCCCATCCCTGTTTCTGAATTACTCGCTGCTATTGAGATCGAAGAGTCTCGTCGGGCGCGCTTGCGCTCTGCCAACACGAACAAGCCGAGCCAAGGGCATTGGTCGGCAACGATCCAACGCTCCGGAGGTTCTACCAACATAAACAAGCCGAGCAAAGGGCAGATACCATCGTGGCCCCAACGTTCCAGAGGCTCTAATCATGAGAATGGTCGGCATCATGGGTCAGACCTCGTTGCAAGCCCTATTACCGACTTCACTCCGTTCTTTCCTCCTTCCAGCCCCGACGATGAGCTACGTACGGCAGAAGCTTTCAACAATCTTCGCGATGCTGTACGATCTGTTATAGATTCGGGCTTCGACACGGAAGCGGAACCCTCAAGCTCCATCAATCGAAACAGGCCGATGACGCGTCGGGAGAGTCGGGAGGACATCATCTCTGAAAACGTTCTGGCAAACTACCATGGCCGTATGCACCGTGTACCACCCATTGCCGACGTGGACTCCCACCGTGACGGTGACCTACGAATGATGAGGGATATCCTCGCAAACCCGACGTTTGAACACAACTCCAGCGCCACCAACGCCAACAGACCGAACAGAGGTCCGCATTGGCGAGCAGGTATCGACCAAGACGGAGGTTCCGCATACATTCCTCAAACACATCGTCAGGTCCAGCGCCGTTTAGAGGCTGCCAGGCGTGCTCTGGAGAGCGAACCACCTCGTGACTCTCGCCCGATTCGTCGGCAGGCCGCCATCATGAAACACGGTCTGGGAACCTGGCCATCGATCTTAGCCAAACGTCCTTGTGCCGTCGCCCCGCGCTTGGTCAGTCTACATCTCAGACTTACTGAGCCCTCAGCCTCCGAGAAGTCGGCCATTAGAACATGGAGACGGCAGGCCAAACACCAAGTGAAGAGTCGTATAGCCGACTTCTCCTCCGCGTCTGAGCATAGCACTCAACCCAGACATATTTATAATCGTCCCCGCTCAGAGCATCAGGTGTTTCGGATTACTGAACTACTCAATCTCATTCTACAATTTGCGAGTCCTTACGCGCAGGTTCAAGCATTGCTTGTTTCGAGTCACTGGCACGATTCAGCAGTTTTCGCGATTAGCAAATCCACCGCATTGCTTAGCTTTCTATCGTGTGCGCCTGTTGAACACAATCAGCGAATCGATGAAAGAGTTGCCGTACCTCTGCAACCTAGTTCGGAAGAACTGGATCAATTCGTGCGGCATGAATGGTATAAAACAGCGTCGAGCTATGTATCGAGAGCCCCGCGTACATACCGTCCAGCGAAATTTGCTTCTGCAAAAGATCTACATCGTCGACCAGACCGAGCGCCCAGATCTGACGATTACGAATATAGTGCTTGGCTTGCACGTCGCTACATGACGTATGGCTACCATAGGGTAAACCGCTGGGTCGATCTGAGCCAGTTGTCGATCAACCCTTACCTCGATGCGCTTTTCTCAACGGGAGATCAGCTCAAACACCATCTAGGCCGATGGGACATTACCCTGCGGCCTTCATCATCCACGCAAACACTTCTACTCGACGAGCTCCTTGCTAGTAAAGGTATACTAGACAGCATAGGATCGATGCATGTAACAAATCCGCCTTGCCGTGCTCTAGGCCTTTTTTACGATAACGACAAACACGTCCATCTAACCAAGCGCGCCAAGCTTCTAGCAAGAGTGAAGAACGAGGATGGCGTACGCATTGATGAATTTCTGCGTGCGCTACATTATGTCGCTGGCCCCGCCCGAGAAGATTGGCTCGTAGACGCCTATTGCCTTCTCAATCACATACAGCGCGCACACCAGAGCGATGACATCTGGACCATACCGGGCATGCCTACGATACGGGTGTACCTGGATAATGTTGATATGCCAGATGACGTTGATTGCATAGGATCGCTTACTCGAGACGATTTGGACTTCGGCGAGTCGGTCCACACCACCCGCTTGGATCAGATGGAAGCTGAGCCTGATAGGCGATCAAGAGCAAGGGCGTGGATCTCAGAAGATCTTCTCGATCCGGCTGGAAGTACCGTGAGTGCGGAAAGCAGTACTCTGCAACCGTTACCTCCATCGCACAGTGCTACTGATGATGACTCAATGCGAGGATTGCCTTCCTGCCTCACAGTTCTATATCCATGGGGAACAGGTGGTTTTACCTAAACGGCGAACACGGGCGCTTGGCGTTCGAGCATTTCTTTTCCTGCCAACAGTGTCAAGGGCGCACCTGCTGCTTCCATTTATATATATATATATATATATATATATATACAGCAAGAGTATACTTTCGCGTCCTCCCACCACCTACTTCGCATGCGTCGGCCTCGTGTTCAGTGATACGCCAGCACCACTCTATGCAAATATAGGCGACACTAATCACCCGTGCACTACCGTCCCATGGACAGCAACAGCTGTCGCCGGTACTAGACGCATCCTCATATCTTCCTCCCGCCCCCCAATCCGCTTGTGATGATAGCAGCCATACTATGCGCTTCCCATGTGAACAGGTGTAGTCTCTCCACCATGCGGTGGGTCCATTATTCCCTGCTGATCGATAGCAGTGCTTGACGGCGGTACGGTCCGACGAAGGAATGTAACAGAGCTGGCTGACGGAAGAGTCGTGGGAGAGCGTGGGAGAGTGACGGTTCGGCATGTGACGGCGTTCGGTCGTAGGGAGTAATACGTTGGAGCGGAGAGCGAGCAACCGTTGATCTGACTTGTCAATAGAGCTTCTAATCGTGGTGCTGCTTCCTATGTGTACTTGATACTATGGTCGACTGCATCGGTCAATGTCGTGATGATGACTTCCCGGTTCCATACATCAAGCCCGTAGAGCTGTAGATACTTCCGTTGGTAGCAGAGGCCCTGTTGCGCGCGTGGCTGACATCTGGCTTCTCCATGCATATTGTTGTGAGAAACAACGCTTTCATTATTCAAGCAGGAGCGACGTCAACTGGTGTCGCAGTCGCAGGCTCTGAAACCGAGAATCGATGACGTGTAGGGCATATATTTTGCGTGCCAGCAGGAAATGGCCAAAGCGCCGGCAGCTGGTAGCGCCCAGAGAACCCCAAGGCCGTACCGGTAGATAGGTCTGTCTGCATCATCATCACATCACCACCACCACCATTCACATTCAATTTTTACCAAGCATCAACTCAATACCTGCTTCATGCAACATGGCATCTGACACAAGATCTGTTGCTATTACAGAAGCTCCTCCAAACACTAGCGACCGGCCCGATGTCGGCACTCATGAACACAGAATCCAGCTCCTTTCGTCGCTATACCCAACACGAAGACGCCCCGGTCACGAATGGAAAACTACGGTTCGAATCCGAAATTGGGACCGCCTGAACGTCCGTCCTAGAGTCCCACCACCTTATTCGCAGATAGAGCAAGCGGCTGTAGATCAGTGGAGACTACAAGTCGGCGAGCGAATAGAGAGGCGCATAGCGACTTTCAAGACTCATGTACTGAGCGAACTCCCTACTGCGAAGGCGTCGTACCCACGCTCATCTGAGCCGCTCTTTTGCGCAGTACAGACCATCTTCGATATCCCCGAACTACATGATATGGTATTCGATTTTGCAGGACCGGAAGTACAAGTACGTGCATTGTGGGTCTCCAAGTCCTGGCGTGCTTCCGCAATCCGCTTTATGAGTAGCGGCGCGAACCAAACAGCCAGTGCTTTTATGGACGCAGGTACACCTTTGGAATACGACTGCAGATCCCCTTGCCGCACCAATGTCCGATCCTACTCTGATAGACAAGCACAATTTGCTTCGGATATGCGAGAAACAGCAGTGTCAAGGTGGACATGTGGTTGGCGCAAGTACGAACACATACAAGATCTGATTTCACAATGGCGTAATTCGCCTGACACTTCACCAAAATGGAGCGCGCCGCCTTTGGTCCATAACCCTTTCGCACCGCCTTCACTTAACCACGAGCTTCTACCCTACATCGACTATTCGACTGTCTGCTTGGACCTGAGCCAGCTTCAGATCAACCCATATCTCAACATGCTGTTTTCAGAAGAGCATCGCATTACGCGCCGTCTGGGTCGATGGGAAATCGGTCTACGTGCTATGGCTACGTTTGATACACTTTTACTCGCTGAATCCGCCCCTCAAAGGCTTCTAATCAAGGCTATCGGTCTCATGCAAGTAGCCAACCCACCGTGTCGATGTTTGGGCCTGTACTATCCTGAGTCAGACAAATATATACGGCCACTACCACTTACTCTCCTACGAAGGCTTCGGAGAGACGACGGCATACGTGTTATTGATCTTTTGATTGCTCTGGAAACGATTAAATCTACTGTGTTGTCAAATTGGACCAAGGATGCTGAAAAGCTTCGCGAGCAGGTCAAGAAGTCACATTGGATAGACAACATCTGGACGTTACCCGGCTCTCCAACAATTCGCATCTACCTAGACAATGGGCTTATGGCCGACGAACCACCCTACGCTGCCGAGGGAATCGCTGACCGTGATCACTATTCACATCCTTTCCGCGGTGATACATATAAGTTCCGTCGAGCGTACATGATCGCCGAGCCATCAAGGGATATTCGACAAGGCGAGTGGGTTCCAGAAGAATTGTTCGAGCCAATGGAGAGCCAGACGGGACGCGCTCCTATCAACTGGATGTACACTTGAGCCCGTCAAGAAGCGTACGCATGTCAGCAGACAGCAAATGCATGCCTTGGGCTCTGTGTTTCCGTGCTGCAGTAGTTACTAGCGACTCCCCATGGTGTTGCGAATATGTATCGCTCTAGCCATCACCCTTTGCTCTTCTCGAGGTCGCAATCGTTAACACCTGTACCACCAGAAAGATATTTTGTAACCAGAGAGAAGCGTGGTTTCGTAAAATCCACATTAACGTACTCGTATCACTCTGCGTTATAGAATGTATTCCATGGTTCGGATGAACACGCGTGTACGCGCTGACACCTGACACTGTTTCTCGAAACGTCTAAAGCAAGTAGCGTTCGCAAAAATGCGTGCCATTTACCGATGCGAAAGAGAGTGGGCAGCAGTATGTAGGTTGATGGCGCTCCCTATTCTTCGTTGCGTGGATGGGAGGACCTCGGAACTAGTAATGCCTTGGCACCAATGCCCCCGGGGCCAGCTGGGCAGCTGCATGTGACGCGGCGCCCCGCGGACCCTTGAAGCTCACCGCACGCCGAGCCGTCGCCATCAACCCCTTACCACAGACACACGTCAACAACAACAACAACAACAACAACTCGGGCGACTGCATATCGCATGACCTATGCCACACATGCTCACCACAAGCGGATGTATCGGAAGCCCTGACGTACCCAACGCGAAGAGGCGCAGTGCAGCAGATAACATGGCGATCTGCGCAGTTCATGGCACCATACCGGCAACGTGAACGTACCCTAGGGTCGCTCGAATCTCCAGCGAAGCCGGTGTAGAAGAGGTACCGCGATTACATTTAAGCCGTAGTTTGTTCGATACAAAGGCTAATCCTGATTTAGATACAGTACCTAGGTAGAAAGCCAACTCCACAGCCAACTCGTTCGAGACCACCGAAACGCTCGCCCTAAGGCCCTCACAGCGCCGTACCTCCTGCACTCAGCTCGCGTATACTACGACACTTACGTCCCTCGATTCCGGGGGTGGCACGTTTGACTCCGGGATCAGCCTCGTCGCTATTCGTACTATGGTCGCTACCTCCCTCTGCTGAGGTGCAGGTTGTCTACAGACGAAGATGTGGTTGACTACCGGGATAGGCCTTCTTGTATACGTACGGCCTATAAGATCAGCCATGTCTTGATGCACTTGTCCTCCATGCCTGGAACATAGACCTGCGCGCACTGCGTGGATACCCTGCTCGGTCATGGGCTCGTATGGCTATTGGCGCAGACCCAATACACACCAGCCCCAGCGTCTCTGGGGGTGATCAACATTGGAGATCGTCAGTGTGCAGGTGGATCTTCGATGAGATACCCCGCCTAACAAAGGCTCTATAACTCTCCCCGATGGCTGATGCTGTTGCTACTGCATTGTATCCACGACATCTCACATGGTCCACTGAACCGCACTTCGAGCCTCCCTTTGCGCGACGACCAACGAGCCATGACAGGCTAGAGTGCTTGACAACGGCCTTTCACTGGATATCCATTGATTGATACGCATGACTACTTATGTGTGCCGCAATCTGATATGGCAGTCCTCTGGAGAACGTTGATGGGACACGGCTTCATCGTTATCATCGCCTCGTCCCTTCGGCTATGTGAACGATGAACAGTTGCGCATGGCAAAAACACTCCACAACAACATAGCAAGGCCATGACACAAGAGAATACGAAACAAAAGAGTCAATTCCTACAGGTACAAAGCAACGATATAAATACAAGTCAAGCAGTCGTATTGAATCAAACCACCTAGCCCGCCCTGACTGCCCGCCATCATCCGCCTGCGCCCAGCACCGACATGCTCATGTAGCAATGCACGAGCCCAGAACCTGTGAGCCATCTTCATCGTCCGGAGGGAGCTATGTAGCTTGACGCTTGTTGGACGTCTCTTCGTCGTCGTTCTGGCGCTTGGAAAACTGCATGACTGGACCGACATCATCATCATCATCGTTATCCTCGGTGACGGGGTCCTTGAGGATGTAGATGGTCTTCGGGACCATGCGAGTCTTCCAGACCCTCTTCTTGTCCTTCATGCTGACCTGGCCCGCAAAATGCTCCAGGTTTCCGGTGCTCAACGTTAGCTGCCCTGGCTGCAAATCATGGACAGACGCCTGAGGTTGGTCATTGAGAACTGCCTGAATTGACTCGGTCGAGTCGGCTGAGGGCGGTTCCTGGCCTCGTAGATCGATGACGTAGGGGAACCCCTCGTTGCGTCGGGCGGTGGCTTGCGACTTGATCTCAATCGTCGGAGTGTCGGCGTCAGCCGTCTTCTTGAGATCCCTCTCAATCCTGTTCTGCACCGTCAAATGATTCACTTGCATACGGCCCTTCCCGTCTCTGCCTATCGCACTGGCGCTGGAACTTGTCAACATGTGCAGGGAATGATTGAAGTGGAATAGCTTACTCGACTGCCAGACGCTTGTCCGGTGAATTGGCGGGGTGCTTGAATGTCTCCGTCGCCATCTTCCGAAGCAGTCTGAAGTCATCGTCTGTGTGGAGGATGGTCGAGTTCTCGTTGTCAGACGGCGCTTTGCCCGTATAGTTGAAGTTCCGCCCAACTGGGCCGGACTTCTCGTTGTACTTGTTATCTGGGTCGGCCATCAGGTAACGACAATACACTAGTTCGAGCCATAAACCGAACAACTAAACAAGGACTGTTAGCCATGGGACTGGAAAAAGCTTTAGTGAACGTACCCTGGTCTTCTCGGCCTGGATCCTGGAGTTTTTGCTGTTGCGAACGAAACTTGCGCCAGCACCACTGGCCTCCGAGGGCTGTTCGTCCAGCTTCGCGATGTTCAATTCGGATCTCTCGATCGCCTCGACCCAACTGTCTAGAATTAACAAAGATTCTGATGGCTTAGTTGAGAAGGTGCACCTACCCTTTCTCTTGGACAGTCAATGATTGATCGGCCATTGTCGCTGAGTGTCTTGGAAGTACAGTGGATTGAACAAGTAACGAATAGGTAAGTGCGAGATCTCAAGAGTAATGTATGTAAAAAGTTGTTGTTGTAGAGGCGAATAAGCTGCGATGTTGTGGTTGTGTTGTGATACGTTCTTGGAGCAAAGTCCATGCCTTTATACATTCTTCGATCTCCTCAGCTTGCTAACACCTTCAGATAGGGCTCTGGATGACGATGACCACGTACTATCGTCATGATGCTGTCGCCATTCACTGATGACGACGATGTCTCCTAGGATCGTGAACATCTGTGGGCGTAGCTTCGCCCATCCCGAAACCTAGGCTGGTCGACATGGATAGAAGCTTCACCAACACCAGCCAGCTACGCCATACGACAGTAATCGCGCCGTGATGACGCAGATTTGCGCACCCTATACCATTCTATAACACTCAAGATCGGCAACCATCGTCGACCATCGTCACAACGTCGAGGCTGGAGGGTGGGTCTGAGGCATTCAGAATGCCAATGTCGTCACTGTGGTGTGTTCCAAAAGTTTACCTGTCTCTTTAGAGTATCCTTGGCACGGTGGTTGTCACACTCTCTGGGATGGGGTCTAACGTGGAGCAGGGTTCATTAGCCTTGGTCACAAAGCTGGATGGTACACTCGGTCCAACGATCGACAGTTGCTACAACATCAGACCCAAGGTCACGGTTGACGGTTGCAGCCGAACGCGTCCACGGACTCCCGTCGCCGACCATGAGAGGGATAGAGTTCTGTGCATGCCCACATCCCAGAAGTCACCAACGATTTGATTCAGAGTTTCATCATTGAACAAGCATTCTGCTGTCTGCCAGCAGCTCGCCGTCCCGTGGAAAATTCCTCACGCCTCGGGTGACAATATCGCATCCCCCGCCCCCACCATCTTCTGTTAAGAGTTCCGATCAATTCCTTTTTCCATTAATGTTTCCTTGTTGTCCGGGTACGCATCAGTGGACACCACGTAGTGTCCTATACAGAGCAGAAGGACCGATAGAGAAGCGATACGTAGCGTGTGCCTGTTCCTGCATGGACGGCCCACTCGGTTGTAAGCTTCACTAGCCTTCTGGCTAGCTTTGGAGCTGGAGATATCAAACCGTCGTTATCGATAGCGCGGGTGTGGCACGGGCTGAGCGCCGATCGCCCGCGCGACCCGTCAAGAGCTGTAGCTGTTTCAATTGGCTCCGCGAAGTTGGCGGCGGAGTCCCTAGGCATGCAAGCCGCATACGTAGGTGACGCCCCGAATCGCCAAGAACGCTTCCGGCTGCGACTAATGGTCTGGGCACAGGAATAGCTCGTTTTACTTTTGATCGGTACCGTGCTACTACTACACAAGATTTATACACTGTGGAAGTATAGTTTAGTGGCTCCGGAAGGGCTCGCGCCCATCCGCTGTGCCGCCGGATTGCCGTAGCGCTGTTTCATAGCTCGAGCTCAATCACAGCACACAAGAGCGTTGACGTATGCAGCAGCGGAATTGAACCGCGTAGGCACTCGTGATGCCGTCGCGCTGTTGACGCTTCGAACTCTACCGCTTTGCGGTCTCACAAGCCGCAATTGCCATTAATTTGCGGTGTTTTGATACAGGCGCGTGGGGGACATTCGCTCGGAAAAGGTCGCGACATCCGGACCCCGACGTAGCCACCTCACTACGACTTGTCTCAGCCTTACCAACACCACGTTATCGTATCCCTCTAAGCACCTCAGCGCTGCTGCAGTCTCTTTCCATCCACCCCACATGTTTAGCGCGCTGTTCACGGCGCCAAAGTCATCACAAGATGATGAGACAGCACAGAGGGGCACGCGTGCTTCTTCTGCTTCTCGCGAGTCTTGGTTTTGTCGGGCTGTACTATGCATCTCTCGTTTGCTCGAAGCCTCTGCAATCGGGGTTTGAGAGCGTGGGCTTAGATAGTAATGGTGGACTGACATTGGTTATCTTGTGTCACCTTGCCTTTGTGTGGATATTTGGCTTGCGGTTGCCCTTTCTGGTGGCACAGAGCCCCTATTGGTTGCAACAAGTGCCCTTCTGGCTGGCAAGAGTGCCCCTGTTGTTGATGCAAGTGCCTTTGCTGTCTATGCAAGTGCTATTGTTGTTGACGCAAGGCATGCCGCAAGTCATTTCAGCTCTACGACTCTGCGGTAGCTTGCCAAAGCGCATATACAACTGGTGCTGGCGAAGGAGTTATGCAAAGGACAATCTCCTGCTTCACGAACTCCCTTACAACAACTTCACTCGTTCTATGAGTCCGCGGGCGCGAGCGTGGTTCTTGATGGCCCACAACTACGGCAAATTGTTGCAAGAATACGATCGTGTGGTAGCCATCGACCAAGGAAAGACTAGTCAGAAGGAGAATAGTCAACAGGAGAACAGCCAGAAGGGGGTCAGTCAGAAGGAGAACAGTCGGAAGGAGAACAGCCAGAAGAAGAACCGCAAGAAGAAGAATAGCCGCCGAAGGACCAGTGAGCGAAAGACCAAGCAGCGAAAGACCAGCGAGGAAACGAATAATCTCACCCAATGTACTCGCAAGGACGTTTCCATATTAGTCCCCAATCACAAGCACATCAGTCTCAAAGAGCGCCTTCGCAACGCTGTTGACGTACTATTCACAAGACAAGGAAAGCTTGATCTCGAGAAGATGCGCAAAGCTACTCACGAAACTTTTCTAGCGTATCCTGCTGAATACGCCGCGAACATGCGCGAGCTCGCTAGTCAACTGTCACCAAGTGCAGATGACGAGATCTGGTTCAGGCATTTGGAAGAATGTTCTGTGGCTGACATCACCCGCCTACGAGTCTGGCCCTCTGTCGCGGATGAAGACACGTCGAAGTTCGATTTTGGTCTCGGTACCGGCATTTCCCCTCACTTCAGTCGCATCCTGCAATCTTGTCAGGTCTACACAGACTCCGCGTTCGGGTCATTGAAAGTCTTCTCCGACTTTATTATTCGCAGTCTCTCGGTCAAGACACCAAAGACGTGGATTACGCATTGGTCATCAGCTGCAGTCAGAGGTTTCTGTTATCTGGTATGGAGAGCGCCCGCTGTACCCCGAGAGCAACCTCTTCAACCGCCTACTTCAAACGTCAAAACCAACCCTGAGACAAATCATTGGATCGTAGACTCTGGTTCGAAGTTACATCTCACGAACAACAAGGCGTGGCTGCTTGATTACGTTCCCGATCACGCTCAGGCGGACACTGTCGCCAGCCACCAGGCAGCCCGATGGGGCATACGGTCCTTACGATTCCTCCCATTCGTAAGAAGACCCCGGCTAGACATAGCAGGGTGGGGCTCTGTTCGATTACTTGTGTCAAACAAAGACAACGTCGAACAGGAAATAGAGCTTCAGTCCGTCGGATATGCACCAACTGCGGCAACCAACGTGATATCACTTGGAAAAATGGCGCGTTGTCTCCGTTATCGTGGAACGTTTGATCCCGAAGAGATGACGATATTGGATCGACATGGGAATCATGTGACAACCGCGTCAAACCATGAAAACCAATACCGTTTACAGACTCTCAACACGCCACCCCCTCCATGTCACACCTTGGAAAGCGAGCAGCTTTCGGAGGGGGTATCTTCCACAGTAGAGCCATCAGTGATGGTCGTCGGGTCGGTCCATCATAGCGATAGATCCGTACCAGGGCAAAGTTCGGAGCGCTCTGGCATATTTCCCCCAACACAGCATCATGGTAACATTCGCGCGGCCCCTCAACATCAAGGCAGTCCTTCGCAGTACACCAGCTATCACCATTCTACAGCACCATCAGCTCCCTCACATCAACATCTCACTGCCCAGCGAGACCCCCGCCATCTCCCACGGTATCAGGAAGCTGCACCTCAATACCAACAACACATTCCTCAGCAAGAACTCCGCGGACTTCCACAGTACCAGGGCGCAGCACCTCACTACCAACAACACATTCCCCAGCAAGGCCCCCGCCATCTCCCACAGTACCAGGACGCAACACCTCACTACCAACAACACATTCCCCAGCAAGGCCCCCACCATACCCCACAATACCAGGATATGGTGCCTAGATACGATGAATGCCGCTCTTCACCGTCTTTCACAGCTTCTGCAATGCTGAACCCAGGAACGTACTCGTATGCTATCCCTTACCCTGGAAGCCAGGGCTACGGTTCCAACCATACGACAATGCCCTTTGCACAAACATACACCAATGACGTCTGCGCGTATGCTTCGGGTTCGTCTTCGGCCTACGAAGGAACACCACAAGTCTTCAGCCCATACCCTCAGAACTTCCATTCGGCTACGGATGGTATGAGAGAGGCAACCACTCATCCTCAGATGAGAAACCTAACGCATGCACCTGGGAGCCAGTATACGCCACCGTACACTCATGGTACGCTACGACCCCAGCAGTACTACACGTACGAGACGCCTCAGTTTGATGCGTCGACTGTACACGCTCACCAAATGTTGCAACCCATCGGATATGCCCCACAAGCAACGGCGCATCAGTACCCAATCAATCGTGGGAACGACCCTACACACGTGATTGTAACTCATCCAGTCCCCAACAGAGGCGTACGAAGAGGACAGCAGAAGCTTAAGAAGAAAACGGTCCGCAAGAATCCTCCTCAACACGAACTGCTTCCAGCGCCTGCACCAGATCTACCGAACATTACTCCGATGAGGTCTAGCAGTCCAACCTCAGCACCAGCGCCCAATGGTCCAGCATCCAAACAATACTTCGTCAACACAGCAGAGAAGCGTAAGGAAAACAGGTAAGATCTGGCTATCTTAAGCAGGTTGTATGCATCAGACTTACGTTACTCAGTGACAATGGTCCGAATTTGACCGATGACCATGGCAGAGAGAAGGTGCCACGTACAGAGCAAGGCTGTACCATGCTTCTACAAGTTCGACACGTACGTTTCAACAAGAACAACGTTGGAACGGAGTATCCCGAAAGGAGGTGTCGCTATAATGCTCTGGAGGGTACCTCTCT